GCTGGAATGAGAAGGGCTGGCACAGCCTGCTGCACATGGCTACACAGGGACAAAGGCAGGGCTGGAGAGACCGTATTTCTTAAGTGTCAAAAGCCTCATCAGAATAATGACATTCATGAGCAAGCTGGGAAGCAATGCAGATGAACCTAATAAAGGGCAGACACAAGGCAGGCTGGAAGAAAAACACATTAAGGGAGTCTCCCCCAACACAGAGTGAGGACTGGGCAGAAGTGTGCACCGGAATCCAGCTGAGCCTTTTAGCACCATCAGTGCCAACACAAACACCAGGCACTTGTGCCCAGGTGCTTTATGTAGGTGGAGAATCAATGTCACCTCCAGATACTGCACAATTAGCAAGGGCAGTGCCATGATACTGCTTGCAGCTGATAGGAGAAGGCCTCAGGGGCTCCATCTCTGAAGAAGAGCACTCTCCCTAGCCCATACTGGCCCATTCCTTCCTCAGGACAGTTATCCCCAACACAGGATACAGCCCAGCACCACTCAGCTGACAAGCAGCAGTGAGCTGCAAACAGAGCAGACACCATTCAGTGGCAATTCCTTTTCAGCAGACTTTTGCATAAGACAACAGCAAAGCCTTGCTCACTAGAGAGACTGGGTAAACAGATTAAATGGGATTTAGTAATATGGAATAAATAGGATTTAGTAATGTAGCAACAGAAATCACTGCTCTTGCAGCTGAAAGAGGGGAAAAAAACCATCACAAGGGGCTACAGAAAGAAAGAGCCAGGGGCTAGCAAGGCTACATGCCTCAGACAAGTGGGAGCACCCCACTCATCCCTGAGCAGGGACCAGACCCTCCAGCAGCCACAGGAGCCTCTGAGTAACAGCCAGCAACCAGCCAGCACAGCAGCACAGGCCATGTATCCTCACCACAATCAGTCATCTCCACACTGAAATTCTGCCTCAAGTTTGTTGCTTAGGTTTTTTTCAGATCTTTATTTCAGCCAAGCTCGAGAGTGTGGTTAAACTAAAGAGACTGCCTTGAAAACCTGCACATATTCACACATTCATGGATTTCACAATTTTCATTATCAGTCTGAGTTTCACACAACTCCAGCATCCAGCTCATGCTCCCTATTTCAAAGCTTTGTTTCAAAATATTTCCACTATGGATGTGCCTAGCTTCAACACTGTATGGGTGTGTACACAGAAAACATACACACTTCATTTTAAAAACTGCAATAAATTACATTTCCAGAAACTGCTTCCAAGTCTCAGACTGTCAGCAGGTCTGTGTGCAATGTGAAGCACTCTGACAACTAAGGATTGGACTAAATACACAAATCAGGGTTTCTAAAATTGGCCCATCATTTGCACACCCAAATCAGTGGCCAAATTCAAGCCTCTTAAAAAAAAAAAAAATCAAGGGGCTTGACTCCTTCCTAGTCCCCAACTCACATTTTTTTTTTGTACTGTTCAAAGAAGTGCACATGAAGTAAAATTTGGGCAGCACAGGTCATTAGTGCTGTGGCAAAAGTCTCGGAAAAAGACATTTCCAGTTCTTGTTGTGAGCCCTGCACAGGGACAGGGCAGCCCAGGTCACTGCTGGTGCTATTTAGCTCACTCCACTTTTGGACTGTGCAGCTTCACATCTGACGTTTGGGGCAGTTCCTGGCCCATCCCTTTGCACCATTTTGCCCCTGGGAACTGCTTACTTGAACTGGTGCTCTCTGGAGCTGCGTATCTTGGAGGAGAAGCGTTCAGCCAGTTTCTCCAGGCTCCTGGAGTATTCCAGCTCGATCTCAGCCTTCCTGCGGAAGAACTCCTGCAGGTCCTGCAGCAGCTGCAGGCGCGACTCCGACTGCTGCTCCAGACATTTGAACTGCTCCACCAGCTGAGTTCGGATTTCTGTGTGCACACAAGAGAGGAGAAGGAAACACAACGTCAGCAACAAACCCTGGCCAGGAGGGTTGTCCATCCTTGTCTCACAGCAAAGCACACGGGCACTGCCAGAGCAGGCTCCTTCACAAACCTCACATGCAACTCGAGCCTTTGCTAAAACCAATGGATTTTTTTTCCCCCAAGGATGAGCTGAAGAATTTCATTCACCAGTTTCATATTAAAACCTTGTTCTTTCTCAAAACAAACAACTGTGGAAGCACACAGAGATCAACCCACAGAGCTTCCAATTGCCTTTTGGAAACTAAAAAATAACGCCTCCATTTACCTAGTACTACCTGAAATCCTGTATTCTCTGTATCTAAACTAACATCTTATTTCACAATAAATGCTCATTTGAACACCCAGGGCACAGCAGAGAGTGGCCTGCAGGAACCTGGCCCTGTACATGCCCACGGCCCCCTCAGCTGCCGGTCAACTGACAAATCAAACTCCTCTTTGGCTCCAGGACTTAACAAATGTTCCAGACCCCCCCCAGACCCCAGCACACAGAACACTGCCAACTGATCCGATCCAGGGTTGTTTTTTCTTTCTCATAAGGACCTTTGGACACTGTGACAGACACACTACAGCCCCACAGCCTCTGCTGAAAAGTCCTCTGCCAGGAGCAGACCGCACAGGCAAGCTCAGGGGTGACTTTCTGCCTGGGTTTTCCATGAGAGGAGCTGGATCTTCCCAAAGGTCTGGCACAAGGCTGAACTGCACATGTAGAGCAGTTGCTGCCTGCGTGATAGGATGGCCCAGTCTGTACTAAGAAGGAAGTCCAAAAATTGGTGCATCTCTTTGGCAAGAGGGCTAGACCTCATGCTTGGTTCCTTCTGCAAACTCAGCGTGGTAAGATGACAAACAACAACTTTCCCACAGCAGCCACAGCAAACTACAAAGCCTGTGCAGCCTGAGCACACAAGCTTGGAATCAACTGCATCCTAACTGGGAAGCTCAATGACCTCAGCCAGGACAACACAGCAGCATCATTCCAATGTGCAAAATAATCTTGAGTATGCATACATACATATACACAAAAAACATATATAAATATATGCAGGACAGGCTAGCCCTACTGGTGCCCTTATAGCATCAGGCTGCCCCACAGCTTTGCACCTACAGGAACATCCTATCCAGACAGTCATTACTCCACAGTGGATGCTGAACTGATAAATAATTGAGTAATGATCTTGCAAAACACTGAGATCACAGAAGATTTATGGACAATTTCAAGCTCTTCAAATTTATGAGGATCCGATGTGGAGGAGGTTAAAATTGTCATTATAAAATCTGATCTTTTTCAACATTTCTGCACAGAACAGCTATTGTGCAAGACCGAGCCACTCACAGTCTGACAGGTGAACTTGGGGAGCTGCAGAACAAGGACACCTGCAGCAAACTCATTACTGCGTAATTTAACGACGGCAGTGATGGGACTGGAGGCTGCAGGCTGTGTGAAGGTCACCTAAAAACCAAAAGCTCCTTGGAAATAACAAATGCTGAAAGCCTCAAAGTTAATCAGTTACCTTACGTGGAATGCTCTGTGAGCACTGCTTTTATGGCAGTTCCTGTGTTTTCTTGATGCTTTCTGAGACAGTAGCACAACTGTTCATAAAAATGCATCTGAGGCTCATACACAGCCTTGGAGCAGGACTCAACCCAAAGCACCTGGCCATTAGCAAAGCCATTTTCCCTTCCTGAAGCCTGCCTGGATGACTGTAACCATCCCTGTGCTACCCAAAGCACTCTGCCTTGCTGCTGACCCACATCCATCCATTCCACAGGCTCCAGGATGCTGGGCAGGGGGGCCAAGAGGGCCCAGGCCCTGGGCAGGGGAGGCAGAGCAGGGATGCTAAGCTGCCCAGGCTGCTGCCCCCCTCGGACTGGGGCATCTGCTGCACACAGAGATCAGCCTTCACTCACAGCTGAGCTCCTCAACACCAGGAAATGAAAGACAAGTCAGGTACATAAACACTGCCAGAAATATCCTTGGGAAAAAAAAAAAAAAAATTATGGCTGAAATTATGGCTGCTAAATGAATGGAGAAGAAATTAAATTCTCATTGCAAAAGAGGTCTCAAAATGACCGGTGTCACAGTGTCTTGGTTTTCACTCTGTTGACAAAATAAGCAGTATCCTACCCCTATGGTCTCCAGCACCATGCCTAAACAGAGCTGCACACCTCACAAAATACACTGCTTTTCCATCCTCTCATCTTCACATTTGCACTCATACACAGAAAATAAATCTGCTGCCCGTGCAATGGCACCTTCTCTGAGGCATGGGAAGGATGCTTCAATGCCACACAGCAAGATTAACTCTGGTTTTGCTACAGAGATGCATGAGAATGGCTGGAGAAGCTGGTGGCCTTCTAGAGAGCAGCACTCTGTCATCACACCTGAAAGCTAATCCAGTCCTTGGTAGCTGGCACTCCAGCACTTGCTGAAAAATAGCCTGGGCTTAGAGAGAAAGCTGCAGCACTGCAGCTCTGCTTCCTCAGCAAGCCTGCTCTCCAGGGGCTCTGCCTTGCCTGTTGGGATCCACAGGAGATGGCCACCTCTGCAGCCACGGCTCCCAGCAGCTCCCTGCCTTGCAGCAGGGCCAGAATGAGAACCTGGAGCCCTCACCCCGGAGCGGCTGCAGCGCTGCTCCATACACCCCTTCCCAGGGTGGGCACTGTCACACAAACTGCAGCTAGCGAGGCATTCACTGGAGCCCAGAGGGCAGAGTAACCACTTTCCAACTAAGCCTCCTAAAACCCACTGCTACATCTCTACAGGATACAAAGGTGCCAGTTTCATAACATAACGTTTTTAAAACCTTTACATTCCCCCATAGGCAAGAGTTTCCTTCCCATGCAAGGTCAGTGGAAGTTTCATTCCATCCCATATGGATTGTACATTCCCACTCCTGCTGGTGCCAGGGCAGAACTGGCAGCACAGCTCTGATTCCTGAGCAGAGACATTTTGAAAAAAAAACCCAACAAAACAACAAAATAACACTATTCCCTTTTGATAGTGGATTACAGCCCAAGGTGGTCTCTAGAACAGCTCTTAACCCAGACAATGCACAGAAATACCAGCAATATCAATAACCTTTCTTCAGTGCTTTCAATTTACTTCCTCTCTTCCTATTTTTTTGCTGCTCATCTGATCCTTCTATCTGGCACCAAGATTTCTCCTTGGCTCTCACAGGGGTCATTCAGGGAAGTTCAGACAACACCAAGAGAGGCTGGCCAAGAATTTCTCTTCCCCCCCTCCCGTGGCACGTTGCTGTGACACCTCCACGTTTCCCTGCAGGAGCTGAGCCAGGGCAGCCCCCCCAGACACCAGAGCCACCAGGCCACTCAGCCACAGCCAGTCACACAAACCAGTGGAGAGGGACACTGACCCCAGGGGCTGCTGCACATTAAATGGAAAAGGTTTGTGGCAGGAAACAAAACTAAGGGCTGCTGCCATCATTAATGCACAGACAGAAGCATTAACAGAGAAAACAACATTCTTCAGGCCTTCGGAGGTCTTGGTGAGTCAGTCGCTCACAACCCCAGCCCCAGCAGTGCCTGCATCGTCACCCCCCTGCTTCCATAGTTACTTTGCTGCTGCATTTAAGAGGCTCCCTCCCTCCAATTAAAATGAACTTGCTCTTGAGTAGCCTTTTCAGATAATCATGACAAAACACAGGCAGGCAGAAAAGCCTTTTTCCACCCTTCATGCCTGCTGCCTAGGGAACGGGCAGGAGCACTTGGAGAAGATCCATTTTCTCCTGCTGGTGCACTGGAGCCAGAGACCGGCCCCATGGGCGGAGCAGCCACCATTTGCTGTTTGGTCCCAAGCCCCTCCATCTTTCCCCTCCCCCTCTAACCTGGCCTGATCACACACCAGATACCAAAAGCAGATCCCCAGCAAACCCAAACCCAACAGGCCCCCACTAATGCCCAGGGTCACACCTGGATGGGCACCAGCTGAGAATCCAGACCAAAGCCTGCCCTGTCCTCACCAGCACTGTTTCCACGCCACTTTCTGACCAGCATTATCATGAGCTGCATCAGCCCTGCACCAGGGGAACCAGCCCACATGCACCTGGTCGGGAGCGATCCCGTGTGTCCACTGCCCCTGGGCAGCTGGACACAGCCCTGCCCCTGCTCTGCTGTTCCCAGGGCAAACAGCCTTTTGCTTCTCAGATAACTGGGGATGAGGAACCCCTGGCTGACCCTTTCATCCCAGGTGATCTGACAGTTGGTCAGCACAGGCTGGTGGAGCAGCGCAGAACCTCCAAAGGGCATGTGGAGATGAGGGTTTGCTCTGGCCATTAGAGGGAAGCTGGAAACGACAACCCAGGCCAGGGTTTGGACTGCAAACACTTTAATTTGCACTCCTCTTCCTCAAAGCTTTAGAATGAGCCTTTATAACCTAAGGAGAAGCCATCTGTGGTCAGCCTGACCTCTCCAGTTTCACACTTCTGCATAACTGTTACTAAGAAGTTGCAGCAATAGGAGAACTGCTTCTACTCAGAGCTGAAGACACATGTACAGGAGACACTGCTGTATAGTGGCAGGTTGGTAACTCCTGGAACTCACTTAACATTGGCAGGCCCTTATTTACAGTTACTTACACAATCTGGCAAACTACAAGGAAATGGGATGCCTCTGAGAGCAGCAGTAGCAAGTTATTCTGTGAAAGCTAAAGAAATGACCCAACTAGGTTCACACCCTTTTTTGGTTCAAATAGTACATGTGGTTTTAATATCCTACATTCAATGCTTTCCTTGCTAGATTAAAAATAAGCTCCATGCCATGAAGAGCAAAACTCACAAGGAAAACTTTCCAACTCTGGCTTCTGCCCAGCACCATCAGGATGTGAACACAAATGCTGCAGGTCCACAGAAGAGCCACCTCACACTCTGGTTTTGAACTTGGAATTTTACAGGACCTTTTAGTAGAAATCAATAAACAAAACCCTACC